CCTGGCAGGGAGTTGCCGAGGGCCAGGAGGTCTCCCCTCAGCCTCCTCTTCTCCAGACTGAACCCCCCCAGTTCCCCCAGCCGCTCCCCAGCAGACCTGTGCTCCAGACCCTGCCCCAGCTCCGTTGCCCTTCTCTGGCCACGCTCGAGTCATTCAATGGCCTTTTTGGGGTGAGGGGCCCAAATCCAGGAACATCAGTGTCAGTCCTGCTCCTCCTGAAAACCACCAACCCCAGCACTGCTCGGAGCTCCTCCAGGTTACTTCATTTTCCATCATCACCCTCGGGCGTGGCAGGGACGGCTCCTCCTGCTGCTGGGTGAGATTTTGAGCGATCCCCGTAGTTTCAGAGGCACCGCTTGATTCAACCCCTCCAAACCGGGACCAGGGACTGGGCTCTTCTCAGCAAATCCCTCTGCTGAGCCACTGCTTGTATTGTTTAATGGTTGGACTAGAATGATCATCAAGGTCTTTTCCAACCGAGATGATTCTGTGAAAGCTGAGGAACCCTGGAAAAACCTCCACTGTCTGATGGAGCAGCACAGGGATTGCCGCGTGGGACCAACTGCTGCCGCTCTCAGCCTCTGCCCCCGCCAGCAGGAGGAACTGTTTCCTGCTCGGCTTTGTCAGCTCCTCCCGAGACCTCCAGCAGGCCCAAGTTCTGCCTGGGGCAAGTCTTCCCTGAGGATTTTTTGAGGAGTAATTGGCACCAAGGCTCATGCTAGCCGGAGCACAGCCCTTGCCTTCAGCAAGGTGGGATTTGCAGAGCAAACCCCAGCTCCCAGCATTCAAAGGGCAGCAGCACCGGCAGCCACGAGGCGGGGAAGGTGTGGGCTCAGCCCTGCGGCCTCTCAGCGCCCACTTCCTCGGCGAGAAAAACCACACGAGCCGCCAAGCTGGGCTCATAGCATCACCCGGGTGAAAGAGCAGCAGCTGCTGCTGCAACGCCACAGCCACACCAGGACGCTGCACCGAGAGCGAGCGGCACGTCCCCTGCACCAGCGCCGCACGCCGCGGCCTCCCTGGCAGCACAGCGGAGCTGCTAAACCCACCCGGCTGCTCAGCGGCGCCGGGACCCGGGGGAGGCCTGAGGAGTGCTAAAACAAGACTTAATGCCAGCGTTTACACTTCCCCTGAGCTCTGGGATGGGCAAGTTGTGCTTTAGTAGCCAAGCTTTAATTAAAAACAAAGCAGGTGCAAGAAAACAACAAACGCAAAGCGAGGTTTTGCCTACGCAGAGGAGAAAGCTCTGGAAGCGCAGCTGGGAGTAGCCGGTTCCCAGGGCTTCAGGCAACCACCCGCCAGCTCTGGAAGCAAAACATCCCTCCCTGGTGTGGAGAGCGCAGCGACCATTTAAATATCAGCACAAAAACTTCCTGATGGAGCTTTTCCAAGAGATCTGGCCAGCGCGGCCCTTCCCACCTGCAGAGACACTCCTTCCCACTTCAGGGAACTTAATGCCAACGGGCAGCACCACACACACAAAAGTTGGGGCTTGTTTGTTTTTCCTGACTCTGCATAGCCTTCATTACAAAAAGCATCAGCACCTGCCCCAGACCTCCGGAGCAGTTCACTTGCAGAAGACGTTTTGGACAGAGAAACCCACCCTGCTGACCTTACAGCCCCCGTGAGAGCTGCCCCGAGACACAGCATTGCCCCCCTGGCCACGTGGACCAGCCAGGACCCAGCCTTGGCCACTAAGCCCTCTCATGGCACTTGTTGCTTTCCTCTGTGCTGCTTTTCAGGGCCAGGCCCATTCCCAGGGGGGTCAGGCCCCATCAGCACTAGTGTGGTGGCAGCAGGAGGGATGCTGCACCCTAGGGTGGCCATCCCTAGGGACTGGGCGACCAGTGGGTGCCCTCTAGTGGCCCCAGGAGCCAGGGGACAGGCTGGGGAGATCCCTGGGGATCCCTCATCTCGGCAGCGGGCAGACTGAAGACAAAGGGGTGAAGTCAGGTCTCCCACAGGCAGGAGCAGGCAGCTCCCCCAGCAGGCCGCAGCTCCCCGAAGCCTCGACCCCTCTCGCACAGCCCGCAAACATTCAACACTCTGCTCCTACCCTTGCAGCCGGCTGTAAAACTTTCATATTCCAGCCATCTTCCCACTGAGCCGGGGCTTTCAGCTCAGCTGTTCGGGGTCTAAGCACTCAGGAGCCCAACTGCAAACCACAGGAACGCCAGCAGGGAGCTTACACCAAAGCCAGAAGGGTTTCAAAACTTTTTTTTGGCTTCCTTCTTACCATTCTCACCAAACCGTGAGGGAGTTACACAAGAATTTCAAGGTCTATGCAGCAACCAGCCGGGCTTTTCCCCACACGGTGTTTAGGGCAAGTGCAGGGCTCCCCAGAGCTGTTTTCTGCTTCTAGAGCAGCAGGAGCAAAGCCTGGCTTCCAAAACCCAACACTGCAGAACGTCATCCCTCCACCGAAACCCCCAAACGCTCAGCAGATGAGTGCTGAAGGGTCAGCATGCCTGCTTCAGCCTCTCCTCCCTCTGCTTTCTGCAACAGCCCCGTTCCCATCTCAAGCGGGGTCAGATATCTGCTGCTGGGGGACCACTGCTTGCACCACTGCAGCTCCAAGCGTTCAAATTTAAATATCCGGGGTATCTCTTCTCCTTCCTGGGAAACAGCAATAACGGCAGAGAGGATCCCTGGTCAGTAAGGGAGCGCCCCGGGACGCGCTGTGCTGTGAGGAGCTGCTCTACCCACTGCTATAAATTTGGCTCAAGGTTAAAAAAAAATAACCTTATTAGAAATCACTCAAGATTTTCTGCATTTGGATGATGCTGGTAGTTAGGACTCATCCTTCTTGCAGGCTTTCAGCTCTTTGTCTTATGTTATTTTAGCACCGTGTTAAGTGCTTCTCCCCCCACCCCGCCTTTAAATCTTTTGAGTCACAAGCCTGTCTGGTGTTTGAAGCCGTAAGTTCCACTCTAATAAAGCTCCTCACACTACGCCTGACAGGTATTAATTGTGTTTAAAAAAAGCATCAGTATCTACCTTCAATTTTTTTTCTTTTTTAAATCAGGTCCCATCTCAGAGCAAATCCTCACACCAGAGAGCACCACAATCCTACCGGAAGAGTTGGCACAATTCTACTTTAAATGAGTGCTAAGAGCACTAGTTTAAGCCCAATTCTTTGCCAAAAGCCCCCCGCTCCATCACGTGGTCGGGAAGAGGTTACACCACAAGAGAAGTGCTCTTTGTTAATAACCAGAACCGTGTTACTGTGCACAAGCAGACAGGAATAAAAAGCAGCCATCTCATCTCTTCCCAGACAGCCACCAGCTGCTGTAAGCTGACTGTTTTGTAATAGCTTGCTTTTCTTCTGGGCTGAAATGCAGAATAGTCAAAATAGCCGTGAGAGTCTGTTGGCGACCAAGAGAATCTGGCAGCGTCAAAAATCTATAAACAATGTTTTTGAGGTATTCCAGGTTGGCTCCCTCTCTGCTCTTATCCCTGAAGTTCTTCTCGATTTCGCTTTGAAGTGTAGACACCTCTTCCCGGTGCTTCTCCTCCTCAACCAAGAGTTTCTCCTGGAGCTGGTGAACTTGCATTTCCAGCTTGTGCTTCTGCTTCCTCAGCGCTACGATCTCCACTTCCTTGCGAGCCAGCTGCTCCGCGTACAAGAAGAAGGTGGGCTCGCTGCTGGCCGAGAGATGAAGGGCCTGGGGGAGAATCTCTGAGGAATCGTCACCTGGCGAGTCACTGCTGGTAACGTCAGGGTAGGGTTTGGATCCCTGAAGCCCGTAAGGCAGCGTGACCGACCTCAGCTGCTCCAGCTCTTGGTCCTTCTCCGCCAGCACTGCCAGCGCTCGGTCCCGCTGCTTGTGCATCTCCTCCTCCAGCTTCAGCACCCGCTCCCTGTAGTCCAGCTGGCACCGCTCCAACTCCTGCCTATGACTTTGCTGCAGCTGGGACATCTCTTGCTTCTTGGCTTCCAGGTCTTGCTGGTGCCGCTTCTCCATCTCGTCAGAGGACAGCTGAAGCACAATGTATTTCTCCTTCAGGTCCGCCAGCTGCTCCTGAGCTTCCTCCAGCTCTTTAGCCAGATTGCCGTCTTTGGCCGACTTGTTCTTGAGAACCACTTGCGCCCTCATCTTGTACCTTTCAAACTCTTCCTTCAGCTGCTTCAGCTCCTGCTGGTAGTACAAGGCAGTGGCCTTCTCGCCATCGCCAGCCTCCGAGCCCCTGGGCAGCTCCAGCTCACACAGCTTCTCGATGTCCAGCGCGGGCTGACTCTTCTTCGCCGCTGCCTGCAGGAGCTTTTTCAGCTTCTCCATTTTATCTTTTAGAACATTAACATCAAGATTGGCTTCTTCTACGTGAACATCCACGGGGGAGCGGCTGGAGGCGGCGATGGCCAGGGTTTTGTTCTCCAGGTCCAACTGTACGATGCGGTCCTTGAGCTTCTGGATGACCACCTGGTCCTTCTGCTTGGCCTTTTCGTACGTGCCGAGTAGCTCCGACACCTCGGAGACTTGGCCCTCCAAGGCGGCCACTCGCCGCTCCTCCATCTGGGCGTGCTGGCGGAGCTGCTCCTCGGCCTGGGCGGTCTGAGAGCAGAGAGACACAGCAGGGTTAGGTCACCTCAACGCTCTGGGCAGGTCTCTGGTTTACACGGGGGCTTAACTCTGCTCTGCTGAACTCCAGACCAAGCGTGGGGCCGTCCCTTCCCCTAGAAGCCCGTACGAGCCACCACACTGACTTGTCTTTTTGGATATTTGTTTCTTTGGGGCTAAAATAAGCCAAGAGCATTTCTGCCTTTGTTCCCTGCTCTGCAGAGCTCCCGTTACCAGAATTATCTGCAGTGCTGTAGGTGTGCAGGGGGGCGGGAAGCACCGAACTCACGTCACATCTGCTACAGGATCTTTTTAAAACGTGCACGTGCCCTAAAGCTTTCACACATCGAACTGCAATTTACTGAAATCCCGTGCTTTGTTGTGCTGGTATTAATATCATTCAGTGGTTTGTGAGTAGCTACAGCAAACACCTGGCGTTCACTCTTTACACAGCTATTGAGATCTGACTGACTAATAAATATTCTGGGCAACTTGACAACCACCATTATGAAAGAAAACACAGCCCGAGTTAGGTCCCCTTCACCTCTGCCAGGGAGAAGCTGTTAGAGACCACTTCAGAAAAAAAATAAAATTGCAAACGGCATTAAACCAGCCTGATGCTTCATATGAGAAAGAAAAAAAACTTGTGCCAGAGTGCAGGGAGATGAGGACGATTCCATTCCAGCGTGTTTCCAGTTGCAAATTCAGTTACTGGTGCCAAGCCCAAGCACTTTGCCCCACCACCCGCAGAGTTACACAGGTTCCTCTTTCCCACCACATCCCTCTTTCTAGCTCTTTGCTCTCCCCCCTGGAGCCTTTCTCCTGTACTTACTTTTCTTCTTTCCCCAGAGCATGCCGAGTTTCACTGAAGAAGGTGTTTTTATGAGCTCCTGCAATCACACCCTGCAGTGCACTTACGTGCTTTACAGAGTCAAGACCACACTCCTTTCCACAGCGGGGCGGAGGAAAGCTCCCAGGCTCAGCCACTGTCACGCCAGTAACACGTTCAGAACCAAAGGACACTGGGGAGGACAGTCACTGTGTAACCGCCTCAAAGGCTGCTCCCAAATCCAATGCTCACCACCCCCTGATTAACAACTTAATCACTGTATCACAAACAGCTTTGATTTTCCTCCAGGACTTCACCCCATCAATCAAAGCCACGATGTTCTCATCTATTTCCAACCTCCAGGACTCTGCGGGACTGGGAAGGGGAATTTGTGCTCCTCCAGTCTCAAACCCTGCCCCAGACACTGATATATTCCCCAGAGTGAGCTGCTCTGGGGCCCAGACAAGGAATTACCTTCTTCATCTCTTGCAACAGCTGCATGTGGAAGTGGTTCTTCAGGCCGGCCATCTCCTCCTGCAGGCCCTGTAGCCGGGGGTCTGGCTTGTTGTTCTCCTCCCAGACAGCCTGCAGCTCTCTCTTCAGGTCCTCCACCTCCTGGCTCAGCTGCCTGATCTGCAGCTCGTAGCCCTCGGCGCGGTCGGCCATGCACGCCCTCCCGGCCAGCGCCTCCCTGGTCTCCTCCAGCTTCAGCTCTGCGTCCTGGCGCAAAGTCCTCTCGCTCTGCAGCAGCTTCTGGAGCTCTCGCAGCATAACAGCGTGGTCGCTCTGCTCCTGCGCTCGGTCGTGCTGCTGTGTGATCAGACGGGCTTTGGTCTCAGCCAGCTGTTCCTGAACAGACTTCAGCTCCGTCTCAAACTTCTCCGTCTCATCCTCGGCTTTCTTAACAGCGTCATCCAGGTCCTGCTTCATCTTCTTCTTGTCTGCTTGGTACGAGGCTTCCATGCGGGATTTCTCCTGCGTGACTGTTGACAGAGCGCTGGTCAAGGTGGCCAGCTGAGTCTTCAGCTGGAGCACTCTCTTATCAGCCTCGCTCGCAGCAGACGACACATCCCCGCTGCTCGTGCTGATGCCGCTCTCCGACCCACTCATCTCTTCTGATTTAAGAGAGGAAGCGGCAGCTGCAGGTTTGTCATCCTCAGGCCCTGCCTCACCCTTGGCACTGGCCAGGCTGGCGGCCGTATCTGCACTGGTAGCTGTCCCCACGATATCCTCGCTGTGAACCGAGCTCCTGTCATCAGCAGAATCGGCGAAGGAAGAGCCGGAGCTAGCCGCAGACGCGGGCTGGGCACCGTTCAGGCCAATATCTGCCTCATGAGACACAGACAATACTTTCAAGCTGGCTTCCAAGGCTTCCTTCTCTTTGAGCAGGCTCTTGTAGGCTCTGACGACATCCTTCAGCCGAACCTGGTACTGAAGAAGCTGCTTCTTCTGCGATTCAATAGTCTCTAGAAGATCTTTTTTACTTGGGCCACCTCCAAAGTTCATGCCAAACTTCTCCATGATTCACGCAATCTGGAAGGAAGAAAACAAGCAGCAAAGACACATTTACGATCGGCAGGAGCAGGCAGTTAAGTGAGGCCACCACCCTGAAACCTCCCTCCAGAAGAGCAGACACTGAATGACTCTGCAACACATCAGGCACCACACTCTGAACCCCAACAAGCACTCGCATGCCCCAGGAGCTGCAGGGCTTAGCACACAAGTCCTGCTCTGAGGAGAAATGCACTCACGCAGGTCCTGCTCCGAGGGGAAATGTACTCCTGCTACAACCTGGACACCTCAGCTTGTCGGCCAGAGCCAGAGAAAACCGCTTTAACACCTTGTACAGTGATACCTGCCACTGCAGCCGCTCCCGCTCAGGCCAGTGCAAAGGTCTACAACTATAAATGGCTCGGTTCTTGCTTTTCAAGAGAAACAGCCCCGTGGTAGCAGAGCTGCCTGCTGTGGGGGTAACCCGAGCGCTGCCAGCTCCGGTGGGGAGCCCCAGCTCTCCGGCTGAAGGCTGGGGGAGGGTTCCCACTGCAGAAGACCTGCCACGGAGGGGTGGGGTGTCAGCACCAGGGGCCGGAGAAGCCA